GCCGCCAGTCAAAACACGCCACAGATGACACAAACAGTCGGCAAGCTTTTTTTCTTAAAGCGGATCAAGCGCAACGCGCTCCGAAGGCTTTTGTTTACGCGCCCGATCCCAAAACAAGAGCCCTCTCGCGAAACTTTCCTCCACGCGTCGCGCCTTCGCTCTCGCGCTCGCTTTGCTCGGGGGAACGGCTTGCGTTTTATTCCGGAGGCATCGACCGCACCTGTCGGTGAGCCCCAGCCACATTCGGTGGCGTTCAAACGTCCCTTGAAAAGTTTGAAGTCGAGCTTTTGCCGCGCAATGTCCCCATTTGGAAGGAGGCTAAATGCCGGCCAAGCTAGTCGCGTTCACCTTCACACAATTGTAAATGAGAATCGTAACCGAACAACGTATCTCATTGTCACGCATATTTCGACCGGTTGCTTTCAACGTAACACTAAATAACTTTTTGGTATTCATCTCAATTGAAGGGTCACATTTTTAGAAAGAGACTTTGTGCCCAAAATTCGGACCTGATAACGTACACCCAAGAAGCCAAGCGAGAGACTCGGGCCGCGGCGTCTTACCGGCTGCCTGTCCGCCGTTGAACGGAGGCGGCGAGCGCCTTCGTGTGCCCGTCACCCGCGCTTGATTGTATTTAATCGCTTCCACCTGCGACTCCGGGCAGCGGCCGTGAGCTTTTTGGGCCTTTCGCTCTTCCGTAGTTCTCCTGCCATATTTGTAGTTCTTCGAGCGGTACTCGGCACTTTTTCAGACGCGGCTTCAAAACATGTTTCAAGCAACCACATTTCTTTCTTTAATTAGTGTCATACCATTGTCCAATTGTTACCTTTCGTTGTATTAAATTCCGAGGTTGATTTTTATTTGACACTTTAGAGTGCGGCTCAACAACGTTTGGATGCATTTTGTGTACGTTCCACACGAACGACTCACCTCAGGATCCAAAATGAGTTGACTGACACACGCACATACACATACACACACGAAGGGTCTACTACACGCGTGGACGCACGCGCACGCGCAGGTAAGCGTTACTGAGCGTGAAGACGGCGCGGCGTGTTTGCTCGCTTGCCCAAACACGGCGATGTTTGCAAATGACGCCTTTGAGCAGCCGGTGAGGACTTAAGCTGATTTGCAATCAATGCGTGCGTGAGCGCGCACAAACTGAGATGGGGATTAGTGGCTGATCACTTTCTTCTTAAAAAAACAAAACAAAAACAAATTGGCAAAGACGTGTATTAGTTACTTACATGGAAATGTCAGATTTTCCTTTCACCTCCACAGCATTTATGATCCTATTTTACCTTGTATTTCTACAAATGATGGGATTTTTCAGCAACTGAACTGTACAATTCCATTCAGTTATATTTATGTGATTATGTTATGTTATTTTCCTAATTTATTTATTTAAATAGCACATTTGATGATCATAATTGACTTCTTTTTTCTGCGATTGGACGTAATTATACAATTTAGGATTAGGATTTTTTTTTTATTTCAATGCAAAATGTCTATGTGCTTTTTTTTTATTAAAAATACCCCCCAGACACATCTTACTGCTTTCTAAAATGAATCGCTGCCAACCAGCGTCTGCATTGTTGTGCTTCGGATGACTTTTGGGTGTGGCTGCTGTTTTTGTGTGTGTGCCCGCGCACACGCGTTCCCCCTCTTCCCACTGCAGATTGTCAACTTGAGTATGAATATGACTAAAAGTGTCCTTCAACACACTTTCTGATTGATTAGAACATTTATGGGAATGTTTTGGGGTTTTTTTTGCTACTTGCCAAACAGGTGGAACTCCCCTTTGAGATGTTTTTCCCCCTTCTGCCTGCTATTGCCATTTAAAAAAAAACCTGGAGATGTCATGAAAGAGATCCTGTGAGCCAATCAGGTGCCAGTGTCTGAGGCAACAGCCGCCGCCGTCATTGGTCGGCGGCGGCGGGCAGGCGGCGTCGTGATTGGCTGAGGGAGGCTTCATTGCCTCCATGGCAACATCGCCTCCTCGTCGGGGCAAGCGGGAAGGAGACGCTGCCTCGGCATTCTTCACTTGGGGGGGGGGGGGTCTGATTGGTCCAGGCCGCAACTGGTGCAATCAAGGAGGCAAAATGTGCAATGTGTGCAAAGTGGGGGCCCGGCGGGCTCCATCCGCTTACCTCACATGCTCAAGACACACGTATTGAAGCCCCCCTGTCACACATAGTGTTTGGGGTCACCTCACATCATCCAGTAACATGAGGTGGGCCACACATCTACAGCGGGAGCAGTAACACGTTTAAGGTCACCTCCAAAATACACAAGCGCAACTTGTGTTGAGGGTCACCTCAGATACAGTTCACGGAAGAGGAACATGTCGCAGCACATTTGGGGTCACCTAATTGATTGCCACATGTTTCGGGTCACATTTTCATTTTGAAGGTCACCTGACATCGTTTGAATGTTTGGGGTCGCCACACATATTTTGGGTTCGGGGTCACCTAAGCTAGCGCGCTCAGAGATCAACTTGTTTTTTTGTCACACTTCGGCTCATCAAGTAGAGGAACGTATTTGGGGTCACCTTGTGTGTATAGGACAGGAACACTGTTGGGGTCACCTGACGTAAGGTGACGAACTTATGTTGGGGTCGCCTCACAGGATGATGACATCTTGACACTCTTTCACAGTGAGTTGGAGAACATAAAACAAGCTGTGATGCCCTGGAAAAGGCACAAAGTCTGACAGCCGGCTTCCGGTGGGCTCTGTTCACGCGCGCAAAAAACACCACGAGCCGCTCAAGCGCAAAAACATCACGGCGTGCTTTGTGTGGCGTTGTTGTTGTTTTCCGCCGGGGAGGGAGGACGGAAGGGCGGGGGTTAGGCGGGAGAAAAACAGAAGCGCGCGCAGATTAGCCGTCGGACGCCCCACGCCCCACCCCGCCCGACAAGCCAGCCGATGTACCGCGCGGTGCCTGTTGCCGTGGCGACCGCCGCACGGATTCGGCGCGCCGGTTGGACGCGGCCGCGGAGGTAGCGGGGGAGGGCAGAGTTGAAGGGAGGACGCCTCGCGACAACACGTTCCCGGTCGACGTGCGCATCAGATCGTTGCCCGCAAGGATCCCGAAAGCAAAAGTCGGAGGGGAAGCGCACAACCCTCGCGCCGATGATCCGGATCCCTCAAAATCCTTTGCGCTCTCCTGCTCCACTGACACGACGGCGACCAAATTGAGGAGGCGGAGCCTTTCGGTACATTTGCATCCCTTTGCGAACCAAAACAGCAACGTCTCCCCAGCCACCCGTCTCACATCAGTTTGGGGGGAGGAGTCTCAGTGCCCCTTGTTCAGGCTCTCCAAAAACACGCACGCGCACGTTCACCCTCACAGGTGGCAGGTCAGTGTTCCAATTGGTCCCATGTCAAAATAAAGCGCTGAACCGTGCCGGTCTGAAAGGCTTTTTATTTTGAAAATCCACACACCATACCGCGAGATGGTTCCGTGGCATAAAACCCCCCCAAAAAAGATGCAAAACCAAACAACACTATTCGCTTAACAGTTAACACAAGGGAAGAGTGAACAACAGGTGCCCAAAAACACTCGCTCTCCTTGAAAAACATGCACATACACACTCGCCAGAGAAGAAAATGTGTCCCGCGGGGGACCGAAGTGCTGACTGAAGCGAGTTGCCCTCGAGGAGAAGGAGGAGAGGGAGCGAGCTTTTGGTTTGACACGCGCTCAGTCAGGCCTTGTCCTGAGCAGAGCTCTCCAGCGCCTCCACGTGGCGCGCCATGGAAACCACCAACATCTTCATCTTTGGGGGTGAGGAGGAGAAAGCGCACAACGGAGGCGTCATCAGCCAACTAACGCGAGCCATTCGGCAGGTGACCCGTTAGGGGTCTCGCCACTTTGTCGACACCCGCTGCGGAGGTGACATGTCAACGCAAAGCCTCGGTCATGTTTTGCGCCCGCACAAAACGGGGCCGGGGGTGGCAACGGCTCCTTCGGCCACTTCGGTGGGCGCAGCCCGTCGCCTCAGTGAATGGGAATTCACTCCCGGTTTTGGTGTGCAAGCTGGCCACGCGTAGTGCAGCACCGACAACATGTTTTTCTCGCCTGACAAAGAAAGATTCCCGCACGTGCTTTGTCAGTCTTTTGTCTCGGCGCTCCAATGAAGGCTCGACCACAGCACCCCCTACAGGTCGTTTTCGGCACTTTTCTCGATGCCCACCAAACAAAGGCCATTGAGAAGATTGGCGTATTTTTTGGGGGGGAATGCAGACCTCTCATTTTTTGTGGGGTATGTTTAATCTAAGTTTAAAAAAAAAAAAACTGATGCGATGACAGTTTAGTGGGGCGGGGGGTTGTTCCCTTTTTTTTTGGTGGCGATGAGCTCATATGTGAGCTTCCCGCAGCTGAGGTGATGTCATCATTAACAAAGATGAGGTCATTGGCAAGTTCGCCACAGGTGGAGTCGACAAAGATAGCTGGAGATGTCCATTTCTGCAGCCCCCCCCCCTTTTGTTCTTACCTCAGTCAGCACCTGTTCAACATGGCCTTTGTACTCCAGAGTCACCGGCTGCTCCTTGTGGCCCTCTGCTGACAACGTCTGGCTCGCCGAGCCCAGCACGTAACTGCAAACGTGACACACACACACAAATAACAGAAAATTCAGGGGAAAAAAATCGAATCAAAAGCAAATTAGCCACGTCTGATTGATAGTCGTACATTTCTAAGGATTTGGGGATTGATGATATCCACATTCAGTGAGAATGTGTTTGAATCAATCCACGTCATCCAATTGAAATAGATCAAAATGCCGTTCATTTTTTACGAGTTGATTTTGTTGTCTATTTTGATCTGCCTGCAGACTTATTGGGGGGATTATTTCATTTAGATTTTATGCACATGGATTTGAATTGTGGCCGGCATGTGAAGCCCTTTTCGCGCTCGTTAGCAATTCGCACATTTTGGATCGTCCATCGGATTCCCAAACTTTGAGCTTATACAGCATGTACGGGGCGCCCTCCTCAAATAATTTGCAAGAAAACTATACAAAGACGAGAACAGCGGCTCGCCACACGCGTTGGCGCATTTAGGACGCGCCTCCTCGTCGCGAAAAGCCGCGACCGTGACTGCGGCTGGCAAATTTGAGGCGAGCTACCTGTCGATGTGGGCCACGTTGAAGCAGAAGGTGCACCTCTTGTGGTCCAAGTTCTTGGGCGTCGACCTGTAGATCATCCCGAGAACCGTGTGGCATCCCGCGCACACCAAATCCACGATCAGACTGTCAAAAATAAATAAATAAAACAAAATCATAATAATAAGTGATTGACAGGTGTCACCTAGAGCCACGACCGTTTGACACATTGACTGGTTGACATTTTGACAAACGAGTATTCCCCCTTAACCTTCGCAGCTACGGACAATTTTGCGTGTTCCGCGCGCGCCTTTGGAACTTGCAAGGAAGCTGGAAGACTCTCAAAGACAACCCAATGCATGACCCGGGCACAGGATACCAACCACAGAAACTTGCTCGCCGCAAGTCCAGCGCGCCGCATGAATATGCTAAAATAACTCCGGTGTGTTACTCAGATAAACAGATGCGATGTTTCTTACCAAAGAGAACCTTTGCTGGCTTCGTGCAGACGAGCGTCCTTGCCGACCAGCACGTTGTTCGTGACTCCTGAAGACCCCAAAAAACAAACAACAAAAACATGACGTCAAAAATGGTGACGCATAGACCTACTCCCTTGGAATCTTTCACCCCAAAAATGTGAGAATTCATATCTGGAGCAGCGGAATTTTTATAAACCCTCGACCTGAATTTGAATCTGCAACTCAGCAAGGGGGACGGAGAACCTACGCTATCTTCCACTCACGTTCACCCTGTAGTTACGTTTCGATGCACATTTAAGGCTGGGAAGTTCTGGGAGCACACAAGTCAGATGTTGCAGTCTCACCAGCTCTCAATTCAAACTCTGGGTGGAATTTGAACACACCGTAATGTAGGCACAATCTACTCACACTGGGAAAAATAAATAATAAAGTTTTTTTTTAAAAAAATCAGACGTCTTGCTCAAAGATGTTTGTAACTTATTCCTCTTGTAGCTCGTACTCGACGCTAGCTGAATTTAAATACCGTATGGGCAGGATGCGTAACAGATGGATGGATACTTAAAATGTCCGTGGAGATGGCTACATCCTTGTTGTTTTTTAGCAGCCCCCCCCCGCCCCCTCCTAAATCCATAACCCAACTCAACTGTATTTATAGAGCACTTTCAAATAGTGCTTCAAATAACGTGCTTGCGGTCAGTCAAGTCGATGAAGACGAGAAGGTAACTTACGCTTGAGCTGAATGTGAGTTTGTCCGTCTTGGTTGCTGTCCCACGACATTGAATCCCCGACGGGCAATTTGCACTTGGCGCAGATGAACACCACCGGACCGTCGACATCGTCGTCGTCGTCCTCCGTCACAGTAGAGGGAAATAGCCTGTCCTCGACGACGGTGGAGTCCACGCTAAACGTTTCAAACAACCTGTTAATGCTTCCCACGCCGTCCGTGGGACACTTCGCCCGTGTCGCCATTTTTGTTTGTTTGAATTTCCGCGGCGCCACGACGGCGAGACGGGGAATCGAGATAGTTCACCACCTTTAACTTTCCATCTCGTTTTAGTGGCTCGGGCGAACCTCTTGATTTCATCCTCAAATGTAACTTCAAAAACGGACCGAATAACGTTTGTTTACCTGCCCAATGTCATTTTAAACTTCCCTTTTCAAAGTTGACTGTTGCTACGTCTTGTAAGGTTGACTATCTTGATTTGTTTATCGTCCTTGTATTGTTGATCAATGATTTGTTATAGTTTCGATTTGCACAGTATTGTGGTACAGATAAATCACTGATAGCATTTTTAGCGTAGCATTATTATTTCAAATAAATAAAACTAGGAGCGAAAAAAACGTCGAAGTGTACTAATTCCTACCAGGTCTCACACACACACCCGATTGGGCAACAACGCGGAAATTCGGAAATCAATCCGGAAGTGTGGGCGGCAAATGTCCGCGGCGCGAAAATATAAAACCGGGGGGGCTGTCTACGATCGCTCGACTTCCGCAAGTTGATGCTCGCCATTCTTGCTCGGCCATGTGTGAAAAGATGCAGAAGGTAAAGGGGCGCGTACGGTTCGCCCGTCGTTAGTCGATGCGTGGTCATGACGTGCCTTTCTCCAGGTGAACCGCTGGCTGGCGGCGGCGTTGGGCGACGAGGCGGTTCCTCAGTTCGAGGTGACCGCGAGGACGGTGGACATCTTGGAGCAGCTCGCCCAGTCCAGCGACTCTCGATGCCGACACGCCCGCCTGCTCGCTGAAGACCGAAGACAAAAAGCGGCCGAGTACCTGGCCGACGGTGAGGCAAAAGCCACAACAGTGGCGCCCCGATTTCAGTCGGCCAAGCTCGCAACTCAAGTGACTTGTCCTTCAAATCACTCTTTATATAATTGTGTGTGAAGGTCACTTCTGCTCTCGGGACACGTTTATGTTGAAGCTGAGGTTGAGGGGTGAAATCTGATGGCGGCGGTGTTCACTGCGGTCTTCCAGGCACTCACCTCCGGGACGTTCTGGTCCAAGGTTTGGGCATGTCCTTCGCCAGCCTGCCCAAGGCCTGCGTGGACTACGTGTCCTCTCTGGTGGACAACGCGGCGGTCCTGGCGGTCCAAGACACATCTCTCTGCAGGTATGCTCGGTGGCTAGGGTAGGGCGCTGACTTTAGCTCCTCCCCCAAATAGAGAATGATGAATATGCCGTACTTGCTTGCGGCTGCTAACCTCACGTCAACGTTTCTGTTTGGGAAATCATGCAGCGGTGCCGCACCGTGCAGGCCTGTGTATCGCAGAAGCCAGAAAGCGCCCCCATTGCCTCAAGATGCCACCTTAGCGTGCGTGCTAAGGTGGCAAGTAACACGACAGGTGGCGGTTGTGCTGTGTTCCGCAGTTTGATGCCGGCGCTGAACCGGCTGACCGGCGAGCTCCTGGAGGCGGAGGAGTCCGAGACCCAGTTGGACCGGGAGCTCCTCAACCTCAGGAAGAAGCTGAGCGCCGCCCTGGTACTCAGGGGACAACTTCAAGCGTACGCAAGCTCTTCTTTGCTGTCCCTTACATTCCTACCGTTTTTTTTTCTTCTTTGAAAATCTATGACTGCATTCTGCGAAAATGTTAAAACCTTTTTTCCTCGGCAGCGACATGAGCAAAACACGCCAGGCTCAAATGGTGGAGAGCGCCAAAGCCGAGGAGCATCTGCTCAACATGGACTTTGTCCAGGCCAAGGCCAAAGAAATCCAGAGCAGACGGGAGGCCCACGAGGTAGCAAGCTCATTGAGCAGCAACATTGACAAAGATCAAGACAGCCCCCGCCCCCATTTTACGAATTATGCTGGCGTCTTTTTCGTGTCCAAATGTTTGTTGTTGTCATTTGACTTGGTCAGGCTCAGCTGGCTTCCAGGAACATGAAGGAGTCGCTCAGCCATGGCGCACTGGTGGGACTCTCGGAGGTGAGAGCGCAAGTGACGACATCAAACTGCAGAGCTTTCACTTCCTGCTGTGTTGCTCCAAACAGGAAGTGAACGCGCTCAAAAAGCAAATCGGGTCCCTCAAGAAGAATCTGGAGCCTTTCGTGGACCTCAGCGCGGTTTGTTTACCTTTGGTTTACCGGCCCTTTACGCACGTGCTCGACTCTAAACAACGTGCTCTCTCTCGCTTGACTTCAATTTCATGTGCTCTTAACCATTTTTCCCACGCAGAGCCCGTCTCTCGCTCGAGTCAAAATCGAAGAGGCTAAAAGAGAACTGGTAAGTGTGTGGCTCCCAAGAATTTTTCCATTCCCCTGCTCAATTATTACTTTTTTTGGGGGGGGGGTGATTTGTACCCAAATCTGGTGGGTCAACTGAAAATGAAAAAAACGTTTCTTCCTTTGACCCTTTCTGGCATTTCTAGGCGGCGCTCGACTCCCAGCTGGAGATGCATGTGGACTTCAAGTGATGCTGAGAAACGAGACTCAAAGCAATGTGATGACACTCACAAAGGCAAAAATGTCAAATGGGAAGAAGCGTTTCAAGTCACTTGGTGCAGCACTGACCTCTGCCAAGGCACAAGAAGCCAAATTTGGCTTCAGCAACAAATTTGAAAACCAATTGGCCGATTGTGAGAGAGAGAGAAGCTTTAAAAAATTAGGTTGAAATAAATGTTTATGAAAAACTGATCTGAAATATTGTAATGTGAAGAATTTTGAATAACTCATTTGGAAAATGTAACAGTTGATACATGCTGTCCTGTCAGTATGGTGATAGTCTACATGTGTTGCTCCCCCGTTTGTGTTCGAACATCTATTGCTGATAACAGGATTACCAACAATGTTATCTGTTAGCCTGTCAATGGCGTGTTCCATTATGCTTAGCATTAAGCTAGCAGGGACATTCAGAAGGCACATTGTTGGGTGAATTGCATGTGATTTGTTTGTTTGGTTTTTGTTGTTGTTGTTTTAGGTCAACTGTCAATTGCTGCTGGCAGCGGCAATAAACGGCTTAAAGTTTTCTTTTTCTCCGTGCCAAACTGCAGTTTTTGTTCAAGTGAGATAAGTGGAGTTCACTGCTACCATACGGTGCTCAACAACAAATAATCAGCCGAATGATGGCTCTTGTCTCCAAAAACTTGGAGGCCGCATCACTTGTATCTCAAGGCACCGCCCAAGGTCAACGCTTGTCCTGCACAATCGAGTGGACGATGCAGGGAGCAGATGAGCAAATAAAAGCAGTTTATTAAACGGGACCGGGGGGAGACGCCATGCAGTGCGGCGTTGGGTTTTTCGTTGCCGGGGAGATGGGCGGGAAGACGTCATGAAACATTGGCGCAAGTGGACAACCGTTACCTGGGTCCCCATTTAATGTTGGTCAGGCCTTGAAATTGTCTTTTGAGGGCCTGCCGGTCGGACCACTCCGAGTCCATGTAGCTGTCGTCGTCCGCCTCCTCTAATTTCTAAAACCCGAACCCAACAAGTGCAGTCAACACAACTTTTTCATTTATTCATTTGAGGTCGTTTTGTGACATTTGGCTGACCTTGAGCTCCTCCTGCCTCCTGTAGTAATGCAGCATCATCTGCTTGTGCTGCTCATTGGTGACCAGAGGCTCCCTCGCCGGCGCCCCCTGTCCTTTCTGCAAGGCAACAGCAGCACGACATCTTCACAAATTGCGCCCCTCAATTTAGCCACAGGGTTCGCCATCTCTTTAACTTTGACGTCTCAGCAAACCTACAATAGAAGTCAGCGGCGCGCCGCTCGGCGTGTCTGAACCTCGTTTGTCAATCAAACCCCAAGGCGCCCCCCCAAAAAAGAGCTTTGGCGCTGCTCATGGCGTTGTGCGCTCTCACCTTCTGGATTTTGACCACCAGCTTGGTCTTGTCGTTCTTGCCGATGTAGTCCTGCAGCTTCTTGCCTCGCTGCATCTCCTTGGCGGCCCACCACAGCTGGCACTCGGACTCCTCCAGGACCTGCAGCGATGCCTGAGGGGAGAGGAGGACCCTGTCTCAACTCAAGCCGAGGGCTTGACAATTTGGCCTTCCTATACAATAAATTTCCCCAAATCACATTTCCAATGTGAATCTAAAGTCTGTTTCGCCTTCAAATATAGAAACCGCAAATGACCATGTTATTATTCAAAACAAATGTGGCTTTTCAAATCGAGTGAGGTCAGAATCATTGGTTTAAGATATTTCTTTTATTGCTTAATTCTGGACTGAAACCACGAGTGAAATAATTTTGATCCCCCACCCCCCACAAAAATGTTGGGAGCGAAATTTCCGCTTCGAAACGATCAACCGCTAACGTGAGCTCACGTTTAGCTAATTCTACACTTTCATTCGCTGGCGCTCACATCACTCACGGGGCCAGGCCCCGCCTTTCAAAGTCACGCACATTCAAAGTCGCAGATATCACAGTGTCAAGGTGACCCCAAGTGGACGAATAAAAACCTGCACCTCACATGCGCAATTTATCCACAAAAATGTTGGGAGCGAAATTTCCGCTTCGAAGCGATCAACCGCTAATGTGAGCTCACGTTGGGCTAATTCTACACTTTCTTTCGCTGGCGCCCATATCACTCACGGGGCCAGGCCTCGCCTTTCAAAGTCACGCACACTCAAAGTCGCAGATATCACAGTGTCGAGCATGAGCCTGGTGACCCCAAGTGGATGAATAAAAACCTGCACCTCACATGCGCAATTTACTGTTTGACCAAGCGAAAGCCATTTGTATCCAATGACTCAATTCATCGATGAGAAAATGGGTGAAATCATCGATTCCCCAAATCCGCCCCGTTGGGCTCACCTGCGTCCCCGACAGGTCCTCGCGGTCCTCCAGCTCCATGCGGATGGGGTCGTGAGGAGGCAGCCCCATGGGGTACGCGATCATGACGGCCCCCCGCAGCTGTGCCAGGGCTTCCTTCACCATGGCCATGGTCACGCACACGTTGACTTCCACTTGTTTCTTCCGAGGGGACCGACCACACGCAGTTGCATCGACATCGGGGGTTGGACGCAGTCGCAATTCATGTGCGGACTTACTTTGGAGATGAGGGCCTTCGCCTCGTCCACCGTTTTGAGTAGCACGGCTTTCATTTTCTCATTGGGAGCTGACGCAAAGAAAACACGAGTCCGTCATCCGTCACACAAACCAGTCCAAAAAAACAATTCGGTCCCCAAAGGGGGGAAAAACTGGAAATACAAAATAAATACATGTTAACTTCCGCTACAAATTGTTTAAACAAGTTTGTGCTTCTCCTTCCGGTGAAGCGTGTGCCTTAGCCATCGGGGGAGAGCAGAGGAGGGCGTTATCTTTGTGTCCTGAAAGTCGAAGAGCTCAAAAACGTCCGTCTGCTCACCATGTCCGTTGCGCCGGCCGATGTCGTCCTTCTTGAAGACGGCGCCCCCGCTGGGCACGCACTTGTCCTCCCACTCATCCTTCAGCTTCAGGTCCACCAGCTGCTCGTCCGTTAGCCCTTGCATGTTAGGCGGCAGCGTGACGCCGTGTTCTGCCAGCTCGGCCATCTCTGCAACCAGAAGCAAGTGCCCTTAAAGGAGACATTTCCCGCTTTTTCAACGGGGGAGCTGCTACCATTCCAAGCCCACCGTGATCAATGAAAATCATTCACTTTTAACACATTTTTTATATTTACATATATGCTGTACAGTGACCATTTAAGTGAATCTAATGAATCGAATCGAATTCATTCAATCTACTGTTGCAATAAAGTGATTTTTAACTTCAATAATTCCATGAGGATTCTTTGAAGTTGAAAGTTTCTTGCCTGCGCAGATTCGGCCAACTTTAAGCCTCCCGTTGAAAATGGCGGTGATGTCGCGCACGAGTACGTCGACTGCCTCTTGCACGCCGGCGCTGAACAGGAAGTGGCTCTCGTCCCCGCGCTTCACGTGCAGAATAACCATCCTGAAAGCAAAATCTTCTCTTGCCCAAAGAAAAAAAAGATAATAACACAGAAAGAGAAAAGAAAATCTACAATGTTGGACACACGGGGTGTGAGGGGGCAAATGCCACGTAAACAACGCATCGTGACGGCCGTCGAGGGCGTGACGAAGGTTCGAGAACGAGCGAAGGGCTAAAGCTAAAAACCCGCTTTCGGTCGCTCGCTCACGTATCGGCTTCGGAGTTCCCAGAAAAAGAACAACAACATTTACACAACTTTATAAGGCCTTGCTAAAACGTTATAAATGTCACATTCCACACTTGTAAGATAAAATCATCCAACCTTTATTTTATTGACGGGTCCACACTGACTTGTACGTAGTGAACGACTGTTATAAATCATGACGTTTTAAAGTTAATTTGCATCCCGACAGACCAGTTGCAATAGAGTAGAGCCATTCATCCGCGATAAAATTAGTTCAATTGGTTTAATAAATGCATATAAGGAATGGAAATAAGGGAATCAATTGAATAAACTCATCGATAACGTCTAATGATTTTTATTAATTTGAAATCATGTGTTCGGCTGACAGAGACATTTTCATGACGCAAAGCGCCCGCAGGTTTGGGCACCGAAAGACCCTTGTGATGTCGCGACCGCGCAGGCACTTTTACGAAGTACACTGAAAGAGGAAGACATTTATAACGGCGTACTGCTCGGGTTACATTCCAAAAGCGATCCAGCGGCATCAACATAGATTTTAGCTCGTTTTAGTGAGGCTAACGTACCTGCTGACGAGCAAAAGACGACCGAAAAGCCGCGGGGTCACTCAAGACGTTCACGTTTGTTGACATCTGGTGACTTAGCAACTCGTGTTTGGGTCGACTCGTATTGGTGGAGCACTTCCGGGTTCTTCTTCGTCGTCGAAGTACAAACCACAGGTCAAAATGGGCGGCGCGGTACTGCTGTCACCCAGTGGCAAATGGTGAAACTGCAGATTAAACTGCTCGCCAAAAGTAAACACAAGCACCATTCGGTTTCAGTTTTATTTTGTTTCATACACACAACATAAACTGCCTTTATACATAAAGGTGCTAGCGGCTGTGCCCTTTAAATATGGAATATTCACGGAGATAAACACGAATTGCTGCTTCATGTTTGAATACATATAGATTATGTTCACGAGCACAGACTCAGTTATTACTATGATTACTAAAAACTCGAGAGGGAGGACACTGACCTCACAAAGGCAGCCAGTTTGTGGCCTGTAAAATCTCAATACGACACAAAAATGCTGCTGGCTTGGAGATACTAGGATACATAGATATTTATATCGATTTTTTTCCCTACTCCACACAAAATGGATGCCTTTCAGAGCAGTGAATGGAGATTTGGAATTGAACACCACAATTTGCTGGCTTTCATTCACGTTTGACGTCAATATTGGGTTATATTTGTGGAGAACCCAGACGGTTCACATGGTTTCAAACTGAAGGGCCTGAAAATTAAGTCACGTCCTGTTGCAGGTTCAAACAATTGCACAACACTGAATTATGACGTGCACAAAAATAAAAGCACCCTGTACACAGTACACATCACGCCACAGTTTTTACCACGTATCCAAGAGTTGGCTGGAGTTTGAAGTCCAAAATGAAGAATGTGCCCTTTGTGTCGCGTCTCACATCCCCAACATACGACATTATTCTCACACGCACACCCACACACACACACAAACACTTGTCTTGACGGGGAGACAAGGAAATCCATAAGTGGGATGTAGGGTTTTCTACACAAACAACTATGTATGTACACTGCAACAGTGGCAGACTCAGAACGGCATGGCATATTATGTTGAGAGGGAAGAAATTTCATCTGTGCTGTACAGCACATTTGACAATAAAGTTGTATTCAATTCAATTCAATACATTCATGAGGAGCGTGAGCGCAGCGTGACCCCTGACCCCACACTGATATTGCACAAGTGCGCATAGACATTGGAGATGTTGAGCTTGTTGTGTCCGTTATGGCATATCACAGATTTTTAAGCAATTGTTTATCAGCCATTATTTACAAGTCCAAAATTGAAGCTGCGCGCCTTCAGTTTGTGCCACAACATGCCGGGCAGCACTGAGCTCGACATGCCGCGTGATTATGAACGGGAAGAAGCAGAGCAAGCCCCCCAACTGCGCTCCGGTCGTGCCTGCCAGTACTGTTGTATGCTCCGATTGTATGCGCTGTCATCATCTTGTGGCATCTATATGCAATTAAACATTTTTTTTTTGGGGGGGGGGCACACACACAATAGTGACATGTTTGCTCATCGATGCCAGCGATGTATTGTGATAGGCAAAACATTTCCATTCACTTCAACGAGGTGGCAGAAGGTCACGCTGACCAGCGTGTCACATCAACTCGCGAAAGAGGTCCTCATTTCAGTATACAATGGAGCCTTGAGGTACGAGTGCATTTGACTTGGGGCGCTTTTTGAGATATCAGCCATCACCTGGATGATTTGTATGTCCTTGAAATACGCCAGCAACGTTCACAACTTCCGGCCACGGTCAATTCTCTTTGGTTTCCTTGCGGTGCAAGGACAGTTTCAGATGGTTGCGCTCATTCGCCATTTAGTTGGTTTGCTAACTGCCAATAAAACAAAAAAGGACAAAACATGAGACAGTCATGTTTTGTGCTTGCATTTTCTTTTTTTCAGGATTTGTGGGGAGCGAACGTTACTACTGTGTATACACAGTAAAGACAATATTCCTTGTGAAAAAATAGGACATTTTTTTGAGGTGCTGGAACTTGAGCATTCATTTCAATGAGGAAAGATGAGTTGCAACTCTTACATCAAGGCATTACTGGAAATGTTGGGAAGCACAGAAACTGACGTTGATATTGCACAGGCGCCACGGCTCATAATATATAGATCTGTTTGTTTTTTTTAAAATCGAGGGACTAAAGTGGAAGATGAGAGCGCACACGTTTTAGCTCGTCTTAAATACTCTCACACGAACAGACAAATATACTGTGTACATATGTATACGTCATGGATCCACAGATAGATGTCTTGAGATCAGCGTTCAGTTGGCTCTCTGGCAAAGAGGAGGCAGCCGGGACCAGATCCGTCAGGGTGTTTGGGGGCAGCGGCCCCAGAGCGCGATGGGACAGGCGGAGGAGGAAGGGTCGGCATGGCGCTTAACCAATCCGGTTCGGGGAAGAGGGTCGTGTTGGGGGGCAGAGTTTTAGCCCGGTGCGCGTGGAAAGCCGGGGCGGGGGTTAACCAGTCCGGCTCGGGGAAGAGGTTAAACTCAGGAGGAGGGCCCGAGGGGGCAACGGCTTTCGTTAACCAGTCCGGTTCGGCGACGGCGGCGGAGCCGGGGGGCTTGGCGGCGGGTACGGCCGGAAGCGGGAAGTCGTCGTTGAAAGTAACCCAATTCGGGGGCTGGCGGCGGGGCGGCGGGACGGTCTGCATGACCGACGAGGGTGTGATCAGGGACGCGCCCCGGGACAGGCGTTGCGGGCCAACCGCGGCGGGGACGGTGGGGACGAGAGGCGCCCAGTCGCGCCGGCCCGTAAACGGGTTGGTGCTGCAGGGCCGGGCGGGGAGCGGCTCTGCGGATAAAGGGTTCGGGGAGGTGCGCAGGGTCTCCTGCGAGCGACTGCGAGGCATTGCGGGCGGCGGCGGCGGCGGGAGAAGAAGGGCGGCGGACATCGAGGACGACAACGAGGCGGGGACGGAGGGCGGACTCCTCAGGGAGGAGCCGCGGGTCAGGGATCGGGAGCTCTGCTGCGAAGGCAGGAAGTCGAGGGCGTCCGGGGCCTTGGGCTTGGATTGGACGCCGTTCAGTCCGTTCGTCTGTCACACAAAGACAACCTCAATCACGGTCCCGATACTTTACAACAGCGGTTGACCTTTCTGGGACCACGTTTCCACCAGTCCAGTTCTAAACTTTGGGAAGGTGTGTCAAGAAGAGGGAGACCAAAATGCAAAGGACTGTCAGACCAGCTTGACTCTGGCGATCAGCAAGGTCTTAAGATTCTTGTTTGGAATTGCTTTCGAATGTGGCATTTGGAACTATGAAACACGCTGAGCTATCTCGTGTAGGAAATGCGCTGTAGAACTGAAGCTGCCTGGCCTTTCCCGACCACCGCAGTTGCTCAGGCTGCCCAAAAAAGGAGGTCCATGCTGAACTACCACCTGATGGTAACCGGGCAGCATTTTTTGCTGGCCCTGACCACTGCGCGTGCTAAGTGTGCCCAAAAATAGGGTTCAAACTGACACAAGTCTCCGTTGGGTGAGGCTGCCCGGAAAAAAAAAGGAACAAATTGAAACGCCGGGTGGAATGCGGACTGTGAGACCCATCACGCTTGGGAAGACTGTCCACAAAAAGGAGGTCGCGACTGCCTGGTGGAAAGTGGCTTTACAAGACTGGCGCACCCCGCGGGGAGCCCTCAAGCCACAAGCACAATGGAACACTGGCACAGATGAATGAAATCAGCGAAAAGGAGGATCTCAGCACGTATGAAAGGTACACATTCCGTCCTTGTGTTGGCAGAAAGGAAACTAAGGAGGACATGGCGACAAAAAAAGGGGAGGCGGGGTGTAGATGCGCTACGGAGGAGAGACGTGAAGTACCTGTCACCCCGACGGCTTGTCCGGCTTGTGAGAGAAAGGACAAATGAGTCACAAGAGAGACAAAAGCCAGAAGAAGACATTCGGCTTGTGAGGAAAAGCGAGAAAGAAAAGCTCAGTTTTCTCAGAACTGGAAGGGAGAGGAACCGCCCCCGCCCAAAAAAAAACGGCGTGGTCACCAACCTGCGTGGCCGAGTCGCCCTTGGCGGCATCTGACGGCAGGGCGTGATGCGAGCGGGAACGGGGCGGCGGCTTCGGGGAGGCCAGCGTCTGCGCGGGGGCGGCGGCAGGTGTCGGCAGCATGGGGGGAGGCAGCTGCGGCTGGGCCGGGCCGGCGGGTTGTGGTTGCATGGGCGCCGGGACCGACGGCCTCACGGCAGGGGGCACCGTCGGGAGCGCGGGCCCTGAACCGTGGAAGTGAGCTTCACCTCAATACATCAGGCGGCAGAGAAGGGGAGAGAAAAAACAAAACAAAACAAACAGATCCCCACCTAGAGAAAGATCAGCCGCTTTAGCCGCGGCAGCGGGTACTGGTCGAGGGGCCCCGGGGTGGGCGTCGGCGTTGGGTCGAGGGGCCCCCGGGTGCACGTCGGGGGCGGGGCGGGGAGCTCCGGGGTGGAGCGGAGGAGAGGGACGAGCCTGCGGAGGCACGCTGATCACGCCTGCTCGAGGGGGAAGATTCTGGAGAAAACCACAAAGGCGGCGCCATCAGGGTCTGCGTGGGCGCCGGCGACGTCGGGACGACCGCTATCGCCAGTAGCAG